ACATGGTCCGGTATTAGTTTTTGCCGGGAGATTTCAGTTATCAGTTACGTGACTTATGTCGCGAGATTTCAGTTATCAGTTACGTGACTTATGTCGCGAGATTTCAGTTATTAGTTACGTGACTTATGTCGCGAGATTCATTTATCAGTTACGTGACTTATGTCGCGAGATCAGACCGGTTATCAGTTATCAGATATCAGTTTCAGATTCAGTTCAGTTGTATATGCTTAGTTCATGATATTGTTATTATTTACGATGTTTTACATTAGTATGAGTTTCTGCGGAGCACAAGTGTTTTAGTGCTCACGCCCCCACGCCATTCATGTTTTTCAGGTCGCAGGGTCGGAGACGAGGAGTGAGCGGGCGAGCTGTTCAGGACATTTATGATTATTGTACTTTATGTTTAACCACGCTATGTTTTCGCTAAAACCTTTCAGTACTTTTTATCAGACTTTGCTCCGACATTAGTCGGATAAGACATTATGACCGTTTTTATGTATCAGTTTAAATTTTAACGGTTTTCAGAAAATCAAGTTTTTCACGGTAGCCCCCGAATCAGTTTTCGTAAAATAAGTATTTTATTTATTTATTCAGAAAATTGCGAAAAATCGCGTACTCTTATGTAATAGTAAGTCGGGGTGTTACACATTGCCTTCGTTTTGAATTTTAGGAGCATGCTAGGATTTATGTGATTTTCGTGTTAGGAGCATGATAGAAATTGTATTATTTCTCATTGCATGTTGTTAAAAACCTTCAAGTAAAAATGACTAAGTGAGTTTGAGAATTTTAATTAATTCATTTGGCCTCCACAATTGGTCTTTAAGTAAGGTGTCTGTCGCTCGCGGGACCCTGGGAGTCTCCCCCTAACGGATGCGGCATTCACAAGCTTACTAGATAAGACTTCTATTCAAATGACTTAACCTTTAGGTGAAGTGAGTGGCATACGTGTGACCCATGGCAAGCGCGCGCGGAAGATGACGCGCTCGATATTATCGGGGCCGAGAGCGGGGCTGGACGCGCAGGCGACAGGGTGCACGCGCGAACTTGCCTAGGCGCGTGAGGATTAGGCGAGCTGCTGGACGCGTGCGCGGGAATGGAAGATGAAGCCCTAGTCCTTGGGCAATTAGGCAACGCAGACGCGCGCAATGGCGGCTTGAGTCGCAAGCAAGAGATATTCTAGATATTTATTTCCTTGTTTTCTAGTTTGTTTAGGACACCTAATATTTTATTGCTTTATTAGAGTTATAGTTATATTAGGACTAGATCTAGTTGATGCCTATATAAAGGCCTTTCCTCTTGTTAATTATATGATTGATTCTTCTTAATACAAAAATCGAACTTTGTTCAAACTCTTTGCTCTAGTTTTCTTCTTTAATTCTTTTGCAACTATAATCGTTAGAAAGGCTGCGAGTGTGCGACTTCCTAACATCTATCGAACGATTTAAGGCGCGGGAGCGGCTTGTCGGCAATCGAGACACACAATCTTCATTACAGCAGCACGC